TCCTCCGCGCCCGCACGCTGAACACCCGGGACCGCCTCCGTCGTCATAGAGACGAAGCGCTCGGCCTAGAGTGCCCGCCGGCCGCCCGCCTCGCGGCTATCCAGGGACAAGGAGTAGGTGCGGAAACCCGTGCCTCCCGACAGTGAGACGCTACGGCTGGCGGAGAGGCCTTGCTGACAAGTGCGTAAAACTCGATGGGAAGGCGTCTTCTGTGAACTACAACCCCCAAGGGAGTGGAGCCAAGGGAGCAGAGCGTTGCCTTCTGGATCTTGTAGTCCAAAGCAAGTCGACAGCGAATAAGGATTTGCGGTTAGCCTTCGTGATTCTTGTAGGTCCAAGCTATTGCAGAAACTCCCACAACTCATAACAGAAACTACTTTCGGCAACGTTGTAACTTCCGGCAAGTCCATTCCCTTCCAATGTCACCTCTTACTGAACCTAAACAATTTACATTACATATTGTTCAGAAGTCTTGTGCCTGTGTCCTTATAGTCAGGATTATCATCCTATATAATAATCCTATATAATAAAAAGCTAATATGCAAATCGACCAAATGGCGGAACAACTGGTTGCTATGACGTGCACTGACCACCAGGGGGCAGACGCCCAATGCAGGAGCTGCCCCCTGGTGGTCAGTGTGCTCCCACAGGGGCAGTCTCACTCAGCCAAAAGCCAGGCTCACCACTGGCGAGCGCAGCAGTGGTGCCTGGAGCCTCTCCAGCCTTTTTGTCATTCGGACATCCCCCGAGGGCTCCCGGACTGCAAGAGGGTGCAGGCTGGGCTGAGGGACCAGCCCCCAGTGCACAAATTTCGTGCACCGGGCCGCTCATAGATTATAATTAGCCAGACATTCTAACTACACCATCATTGCACAACAAAAGGGCTTCAAAAATATTAGATGTGTCAACTGGCAATTACTTCAGCCTCTATAATCTCCACTTTCAATAGAGGATATTAGCATTAGCATTGGCAAAATGAATGACTTTCAAGATATGTGACTTGGTTAAAAATACTACAAAGGTACTTCAGCCCTCAAAGGAACGGGTACAAGATTCTGAGATGCACAGCAGGTTACACCTTCTGTAGAATATTTCCAAAATGACTTAAAGGTTTGAGTAGTTGATGTTATATACTATTTTCTTATCATCAGATATATATACAGATATATCTAGTCTATTAACATTATTGGAAAATTTTGCTATATTAGCATCTCATTAATTTTAGGAGGCTCCTAGGAGACCACAGTTGACTTTGTACAGTTGACTAATCTCATTTGGAACAGGGTTGGACCTTCCCTCTACCTGGGTGTATGTGTCCACTAGTGTTAATCAGCTCTTCCTGTAATTGATACATTTCTCACTTGTAGAATTATTCAGTTCCCTGCTGTGTGTGTGTTCATATACATACACACACAAAAAAACACATGTGTACTTGAAATTGCTTTTAAAAATTAAAATATTCTATCATATTCATTCTTTTGTCTTACAACTAATGCCTTCTACAGTTTATCTCTTTCTGTTTTGAGTATCATTATAGTCTCAGTTTAGATTAATTAACTATAATTATTCTCCCTTTTGATGCTCCAAGGACTCCAATGTGGCCCTTGTGAGCCTGCGCATTTCTTGAAGCTTACACACGATTTTGAAGCATTCTTTTTCATTCTAGCAACAAGAGGTTCCAGGCCAATCCTGATTTTTCAGTGTTCAGCGTCCTGGACTCCACAACACTTCAAGGAACTACATGGTTCCTTTTGGTAGAGAATAGTATTACACACACACACACTCACACACACACACACACTGATCACATGAGAGTGGTGGGTAAAATGCCATCAGGCCACTTTTGTAGCATTTTTGATGCAATTAACATATCATGCTGCTCAACCTACTTTTCTTATAGATTTTCATTACCCACAAAGACTTTCTACTACACTGACACAAACCTGGATTTTGATGCCTTTGGTCCTAACTTGATCAGCTCAAGACCATAAGGGACAAGACCTATAGTCAAGTAGAGTGAGGATTTTTTTACCAGTTCCAGTGAAGGTAATTGCATACCGGAGAAACCAAGGAACAGGGTTATAGAATTTGGAGAAAGAATGGACTTTAGTAAAATTTAAAGACAACGGTGTGTAATGAGGACAGCCTCAGACCCGGACTGCAGGATAGTTTGGGATCCCGTTTCTTGGAAACTACACAGTTCCCACGGATGTGGACTGTTATAGTCAGGAGCCCCTGAATCGAAGGCTTTGCACCTAGGTTGGAAATGGAAGCTGCTTCTTTGTGTCTTTCCTCCAAGCAAAAGTAGGGTGTTTCATTCTTTTAAAAAAACAAACAAACATGTTTTTACTGATTTTTAGAAAGAGAGGATGGGAGAGGAAGAGAGAGAGAAACATTATCGAGCGGCTGCCTCCTGCACACCCCCCACCAGGGATTGAGCCCTCAACCTGGGCATGTGCCCTGACCAGGAATCCAACTGGTGACCTCTTGGTTCATGGGTTGATGCTCAAACACTGAGACATACCAGCCTGGCGAGTGTTTCATTCTTAATGACATAATTTCAACAGTAAAGCTTCTAGTAGTGTATGATTGTACCAAAATTGGTCAGTGAGTGAGAAAGTAGGCACTAAAAGGACGGGAGTGTTATTAAGACTTTACAGCATATCCTTAGGAGAAATATTATTTCCTATTAACTTTATGGCTGGGTTTTCTGCTCGTTAACCTAACCCAATGAATAGCCAAGCAGATATTTATATTCTTAGTTTGAAATAATTTTTCCTTTCCCAATCTGAATTATCCTAAGTCTTGGAGGACACGATATTGGCTTAATATGTTTCTTTTATGTATGCCTAGCTTTCTATACGACACTGGTTAGCGCAAGAAGCATCAACTCTTAATCATGTGAACCACAAGGTAATCTGATAATGAGCTAAGCTGACAGTGCCTCGAGCAGCAAATTCTATTGCCATTTGAGAGCCTACCGATAGTCCTGATTGTACTGTCAAGCTTCAGGATTTGTCTTGATACTCTGCCCACCACTCTCTCTGCTCAGGCATGAGAGCTCACCATCATCTCAATGAATTCTATACAAGGAAACCCAGTGCTGTATCCACGGGCAATAAAGTGAAAGTGTGGACTTAAACAGAAAGGCTGAGCAGTAGCAAATACCAAGACGCAGAGGGAGGTTAGCGTTAAATTCAGCTACACAACAGGTTATTAAAAGTGCTGAGGTTTAAAGTATAGTAAACCATGAACCATCAAGAACATGCAGACAAATGCAGATACTTCAACATAATTGTTTCCATGTCAGTTTAAACATATTAGTCTTATTCTGCTATTAAGAAAAACATACAAAACCGATTTGCTAGGTTATTGTTATTTTAGAACAATTCTTTCCTATGGGGTAATATTACTGACGACAAGCAGAAGAATTATTGCGTTTTATAATTGAGAAAGTAAAAAATACACTGGGCCTCTAGTATGCTATAATAAAAGTCCATGTGAACATGGTCTCTCTTTCTCTCAAAATATCTTATTCACCTGTAGGTACAGAGAGAATAACTGGACAAAGGGATGATTCACATCCTGTGGAATGGAGCAGGAGGCTGTAAGGTTTCATCAAGCTACTCTGAATGGCATGCAATTTAAAACTTATAAATGTTTTATTTCTGGAATTTCCTAATTAATATTTTTGGATCACGATTGACAGAGGGTCAATGAAATAGTGAAAGTGAACCCGTGAACAACTGTAACCAATGTAATCTATGTTAACCATGAATAGCTAATGAAGCTGAAAATACTGACTAGATTTTAAATTTTTTTCCCAGTATTGAATGATTGCTATTTTGTAGTCAGTTTCTTTTTTAATTCTTTATTGTTTAAAGTATTACATATTAGATTTTAAATTTTTAATGTTTAACACTAAATATGATTTTAGAAAGAAATTTCTAACCCAGGCATAATAATCTTATATTAACATCTAAATGGCATCATAATTTCAGTCTTAATGTGCCAAACTTTTCTAACAAATAAAAGATGAATGGACCGAGTTTTATTTTTCAATTTTAATAGAATGAAAAATATGTCACAGAAAACCATTTGTTAGTTTTTTCAAAAAAATTCACACAACTAATGAATGTGCCAGCAACCACCACATTCGTGAAATTTCATGGATGCAAAAATACTTTTAAATACCGGCCACTGCTCACAGTTTGGTGATAGCTTCTTTAAAAATATGGTCTCTAACTAGGTTTCATCCACAGCTCTGGTTAGGTTCACCTTGACAGCCCTGGTAGTTTCACTCTGCCCCCCGCGGAGACCAGCTATGAAAATCTGAGGCCTGGGCACTGCGGTGCTGCCTTCCCTCTTGCACTGCGTGCCCACGGGCTTTAAAGGGTACACCTGTGAACAATTCTCTCTTCTCATGTGACTGAGATCGGTTTGTACCGAGTGAGTAACTTTCCGCCGCAAATTGGCCTACATAGAAAGAGAATACATAGGGATTAACATTTCTCTAAAAAAGGAATAATAGAAAATATTATCAGGCACCAGCTAATATCTGGCTATTTTTTTAATCCATAAAGAAATTAGTTTTACAACATAGCATTTTTTTTTTCAACAAAACGTTGGAGCAGTAAAGAAATCTAGGAGGGAATAGAAAGTACCCTTTGCTGCAAAGTAGGAAAATATATTAAATAATGAAAATGGAAAAGAACATACAGGCTCAGGCTTACAGTGAGCTCCATCATTTCTTAAATAATCTTCTAATTCCTTCATCACTTTGAGATTCATACAACTTACTCCTTTTGTGAGTTCTTAGTAAACATGAAGTTAAATAGATTACTCAGGCTGAGAAGCAAGGAGGAGCTTATAAGAAGACTAGGAGTGGCCTGGCCAGTGTGGCTCAGGTGGTTGGGTGTCATCCCGTACACCAGAAGGTGGCAGATTCAATTCCTGATCAGGGCACAGGACACAGGACACATACCGAGGTTTGCAGGTTCCATCCCTGGCCCCGGAGCATGTAGGATGCAGGAGGCAACCAATCAATGTATCTCTCTCACATCAATGTCTCTCTCCTCTCTCTCTCTCTCTCTCTCTCTCTCTCTCTCTCTCCTCTCTTCCCTCTCTAAAAATCAATGTTTTAAAACTATTTAAAAAAAAGAATAGGAGTTATGGTGAAATGCAAGAAAAAACACAGAAGGCATTAGAGCACGTGAGTTAAAGAGAGACCTAGAATTAGAGGAAACATTTCAGAGTTTGAGATACTGCAGGTGATTGAGAACCAAAATCACTTCCCCTCACATAGCTTATTATCTAGATTAATATAACTTTGCTATTTCATTGTCTTCATTCTCATCATTTTACTATTTCAAGAGACTCCTGCCAAAGCAAATAACTTGACTGTTCATTA